CATAGTTAAAGGACTGTTCCTGGCATCCCACAAATGTCCGCTTTCGTTAGGATTGTCGTCAGTTGCCGATAATCGGACTGGATTAGTGTCACTGCAAATATTCAAGTGGAGAACAAAACGTGAGGGGACAAAAACGTATTTCCATGCAATACTATTTACGGAATTTATGTGGATATTGTATTAGTTTGTAGTGAAGTAATAGTATTAAATGGCTTTTGTGCGTAAAGCGAAGGATATAAAATAATATAAAAAAGAAATTCCTTCAAATATCGAATTTTAACTAAGCCAAGCCAAACAAATCTATATATTATGCTTTAATATTTAGATCACTTAACAATAAAATATTCTTCTAATTGAATGCTATTATTTTTTCTTTGCCTATCCATATAAACCGCCAATCGATTAAGCCCACAACTTTACTTTGATGTCGAATTCTATTTGTGCACGAACCGTGACCTCAAGGAAAATCCTTCTCAAGGGCAAAATTCATTAATAATTCGGCAAACGTTAAAGACACAGAGTCGGTCTCGGGTCATAAATGAAAGACAAATAAATGGAAGAAAAGTTGTGAAAGGACATTCCGACTTGTGGCCTTTATTTTGCCAACTTTTCGCATTGTTTTGCGGCATTCTTTCTGGCAATATGCAGCAATTATTAAGATTAATACTCCTAATATGATGAGCGTCGGTCAACAAGAGCGTGACCGAGATGTGTGAGGCCAAGCTGATGTGTTTTTAATGAGTTGAAGGAGCCACGGAAGCAGCAGCAATTAAGGCACATTAATTAATATTAAATATTTCAATGGCAATTAAATTAAATAATTCCTAGATGGCCCCCAAAACAGCCACAAAAGCCGCAACGAGAAGATGGCAAACTTTTCGGCCAGCCAAGAAAATGAAAATTTCATTAGCCGCAGAGGCTAAATGGATTTTGCCCGCCATCCACTTGCCATTCAAATTTGAAGTGAAAAGTTTTCAACTTAGTCCAAACAGGACACATGTTACAAAATTAGCAAATAAATTTCAAGTAAGACTGAACTTGCTGCCTCGCATTCCAAATGCAAATGAAATGCATGCGATTGTTGATCGGGGGCGAAAAGGGGAATTTATTTAACTGAACCGAACCAAACCAAACCAAACCGAAACGAAACGAACTGAACGGAGCTGAAACCCGCGTTGCATTTCTTATGACCGAGGGCAGGAAAATATTTTCCAAGGCATTTCAATTTGGCCCCGCAATACGCGTAATTGAAATTTGCATTTGTGTGGAACGTAGGCGAAAACAAGAGCCCAAAAGAAAATCTAATGAAATAGGAGGTGGTGGCCAAGACAAGCAAAAGGAATAGAGCCAGAAGGTCCTTCGTCCTGAAGAAAGACCAATTAAGAGCCGCGGCGTGGAATTTTGATTGCGGTTTTGCAAATTTAACAGCAAGCCAGCACAGGAATCTAGCCATGAGGCCTCACTCGCCGATTGGCCAAAAGTAGGGAACTTAAATTTTTTTTCTTGGTCACTTTTCAGCACATAAGGCCTTGATATTCATTTAAAAGCTAGCGGCCAAGGACCTGCCAGCGATGACATTCAAGTCAATCGAAAAGTTTACACAGAACGCGAATTTGTGTCCTCGGTCACCTGAGTCAACAACTCGAACTGTCCCTCTTCGTTGAAACAAGGCAAGATACTTTTACCAAGAATTTCCAAAAAAGTTTCTTGAACCACTAAACAAGTAAGGGAGAAATCACTGCACAAAAAGTTTAAGATTTTGAATATAGTTTCTAAGTAAAAACTTTGGTATAGATTAAAAAAAAAGGTAAACACCATTTTCCTATTTGGTTGCGTCCAGTAAAAAAAACATGTATAATTTAAAAAACATTTTGCGCTGTAAAATTAATCATGAAATACTATCTACCATTTTTGCTCGTATTGAAACTCTATTAATAAATTGTGAGCCATAATAACTTATCAGTTTGAATCTTCCAATTATAAGCCTAAAACTAAGCTGGCGCACAACTAAGTCTTAAATTTTTGTAAACATAAAAAAAACATTTTTTAATATTACTTAATACTTACAATTTATGCTTTGGTATGGAAATGTGTTTAACCTATATTGTAATTCCCTTTTTTAAACGCTTTTATGCAAATATTTACTTCTGCATAAAGAAGTAGTAAATAAAGGGGTCGAATATGCCATTTCAAATTATAAATTCTAATTTAGGAATTCAATCATGCACTAGAATTTTTCCTGTGCTAAAAAAACTGCCTTAAAAACTTTGAACCCCACACCCCGCGACCTCTCAAGACCGCAAATTGTTTAAAACCCAGCATTGTACAAAAAAAAGGAATAAAGCCAGAGGGCACCAAGGAATGGATTTGAGGGGATGGGGATGGGGATGGGGTGGTTGTTCGGAACGTCAGTCCGCATTAGACCCTCAACTATAGCCAAGGCCAAGTTTTGGGCCGAATCTGTGGACCAGCAACATCGACGGCCGAAAGGCAATGGGACCGTAAATTCTATTGCATGACTTGATTAAATTCGCATGCAACGCTGACCGGTCAGACCTCTGTGCCGACCCGGGACCACCCAAAAACCACCCAGCAAACCACCCGGAAAACCCATCATTCCAACAGGTCAAACAAAAGCCAGCGACGTTGCGAACTATGCCATAGCTGGAATTTCTTGGCTATTTGCAAGCTGCCTTGGCCCATGGCTTCTGTTTTTGCGATTGTGGATTTTCCCATGCCTTCGACCGTTTCCTCATTTTAACGTTTTAAAGTGACTTAATGAAGTTTCAGTGTCACAGCAAAATCTGCTGCTTCTCCGCCTGTTAATTTTATGATGGATTTTGTGCAAGAGAGCGCCAAAGGAAAGGAAGCTTTGAACTTTAATAAGTGTGTGTATGCAAGCATTTAACTTTGCCGTCGTTTCGTAGATTTTTTCTTTATATATATTTGACCACCCCAGCAGGAGAACCCCTCCCAACGAGCCATGTTAAGCTGGCTGGCTAGCTGGCTGGCTTCTTTTATATGGGAACTTGGCTAAAATATGCTCCACAAGACTTGAAAGCATTTGAAGTAATGAAAAAGAAGCGAAAAAATTGCATCCAACAAGTAACCACGCGCACACACACACACATTCGAAAAGTGGTTTCCAGGGGAGGGGGTGGGGTGTTCTATTACTATACAGCCAAACTGCGCAAAATTTAACGAAGCTTAACCTCATTCAATGTGAAAATACACTTTACGTGTACTTTGCGCTGTCATTTCGGGCGCAACTCGAGCAGCAATTGTGCAAATACTTTGTGCCGAAAGTGCGGTGACGAGGGGCGGCAATAGTAGTGTTGCTGCTGCTGGTGAAAGGGGGCGTGGTCCAGACAAGTGTATAAAGGTGGAAGTACCAACCTGGTGAACTTTTCCAACTTAAATGCAGAGCAGAATGATGAATGATCCAAAGACGCTCGGCTGGCAAACCAAAGAACTCACTTTATCTCCGTGTTTCGCCGACTTTCTCTCTGCTGTTGAGGAAATATTTGATTTCCAGCCACTACACCAAGGAAAATTGTTTACCACATATGTCATTTAGATAAAGCGTCCCATAATAACGAATTGAATAATATGTTTCCTTTTTAAATGCCGGCAAAAAAATCCGAATATATCAATTTTATTTGTTGTTTATAATTATATTTCATTTTTATATTTTATTTTGTATTAAATAAATAAATATAGTATACGAAAAAATAGTTGTTTAGCTTATAAAATATATATCTATACCCACCATAGAGAATCATAAACTGTTTTTAATATTATCTATAACTTAACAAAAAGTATAAATTTATATGGGAATATTATTATATTGAACAATTATTTTGAAGTGCACACTGAAATCGCAGAAAATCCTATTTTCTCAAAGGATGCTTAAAATTGAATCACTTTAGCACGAAATACTATTGTCAGTTTCAGCGAGTGAGTGTGGGCGGTGGAGGCGTGACAGGTAAATTATGCAAGAACATCGATACCAAATGTCGTCGACTGCATCCAATTGAAAACTGAAAGTGCGGCAACCTGAGATGCGAACCAAGTTTCAAATGGCCACGCTTGCACTTGGCAAACACCGCACCGCAAGCAAATGAAACGCACGTCACCATTTGTGCAATCAAACATCGAAATGGACGCGACATTGACCGCAAACTTCCACCGTGTGAAATCCGATGCGACTGGGAGCCAAGCGGCGCATAGTTACAAAAAGCGGGAAAAACTCTATTGAAAAATGCATTACAATTTGAGAAGACATCATTTATTAAGCTTGAATTTAGTCTAGACATAAAGAAAAGAATGTTTATTGCTAGAACAACGAATGAAAACCTTTTTCTTTTTTTTTTGCATACGTTTCACATTAATTAAATAAAAATTAAATTTAATATAAATCTTTTGTAGAAATTTCAGCATTTCAGCAAACATGTTAGAGTTAGTATATCGGTTGGTTTAAATTCCTTGATATTGTTGCTTGGGATGTGTTGAAAATCTCAGATTAGATAAAATTGTCTTTCCGACTTGAACCACTGTCCATCAATTCGATGTTCATAGCGGCCCTGCGATTGCGGTGGCTGCGGATTTTGGATTGCGGATTGTGCGGACAGCGGATCGTCTCTCTTGTATCTGAAAGGCACAATCTGGGCAGCGGGGCCGTTGGGCCGCCGAGTGAAAGTGATGGCCTCCACTTACACAATGTAGAGCCCGTTGCCGAAAGCCAATGAACTTGAAGTGCCGACCCACCGACCACGTATCCAATTACAAGTAGTGCGCGCTTAAACCATTTGAAGGGTGTGTTATAAAAACGCCAACGCGATGTCACAAATTTGCATTTCAAAGCCTAGCAACACCCACGCCAGCTGCATCCGAACACGCACTCCGCTCGAGGATTAGGACACAGCAGCCAACAGGACACCGACTCCGTTATGGGTCCGCCAAATTTCGGCCAGGCCAATGGTCGACATGCCCACAGTTCATTAATGATCTATGCATTAATGTGGCTCTCGTTGGCCATGACAATGGAGGCCATAGACGGCGATGCCCCAGTGCCTCTGTCGCTGGCGGAGTTCCCTATCCTGCCGCTGGAACATGGCAAACCCCATTACCAAGAGGAGGAGACGGGATTAGCGGGATATACGCAAAATTATTATGGTCCCACTGACACTGCAACGGCCGATGACTTGGCAACATATGGAAATTATGCTCACAAGCTTCTGGCCGCCACCCACAGCCACGCCCACCACATTCCACATCCCATAGCAGCCACCTCGACCTCATCCCTTGACAGCACGGCCAATGGCTTTGTGCCCTTCCACTACAGCGCCAAACTGCACTCGCAATTCACCGAGGATGAGGAGCCGCGTCGCGACCCATCGGCCCATATCGATTTTGTCATTAATGCGGCAAATTATGAGCCAAATTCCGCTGGCTTTGAGGAGGTGTCCCGGCACAGGGAGCCTTTCGAAAGCCATGCATATCGAGTGCCGCGGCTGCCGTTTCCCACGTCGCCACCCGGTCATTACCATTTCGAACAAATTTCCAATTATCGCGAGAACCGGCAGCAGGAGGAGCGGCAGGAGCAGCAGGATGATTCCAGTGTCTATGCACGGACCAAAGAGCTCCAAGCATTGGCTAACCCAGTGAAACGGCAGCTGCAGCGGGAGGAGTCCCCACCGACTCACCATCAAAATCAGGATCTAAAGGATAGGCATCAGCACCAGCAATTGGAGCAATATCAGCCACTGGAGGGGAGACAGCTGCAACATCAGCAACAACACATTCAGCTACATCAGCAACAGAAGCTCCAAAATTCCCAGGATCAACGGCAGCAACAGCGATTGGGAGTGTCTCAGGATCAGCAACTGTTGTACTCCCACAAGGACATCCACCAGGCCGATTTGCCTGCCGTAACCACCAGTGTTCGTTATACGCCAGAGAGCAGCAAGGCCATTGCGGGATTGCCGCTGGCCAAGCACATCGAGATCACCAAGAATGTGCCAGTGACTCACTACCAGAAACAGCATGTTCCCTACAAGCAGACCATCCAGGTGCAAGTGCCCCGCACCGTGATCGCTGCCATACCCAAACCGTTGCCCATTAAAATACCCGTGGCTCAAACAGTGGCAGTTCCTCAGTTGCAGGAGGTGAAGATTCCCATCGAACGGGTGAAACCGGTGCCCGTGGAGCAACCCATTCCCTTTGTGGTTGAGCGAAGGGTGCCCTATCGAGTGGAGAAGCCGGTTGTCTCGCCAGTTTACTATCCGTATCCGGTCAAAGTGCCCGTGGTGCGCACGGTGGTGCACAAGCAGCGACCCCACCCCCACTATGTGCACCCGGCACCCGGATGGAGTGCCACCGGCAATCATCTGCTGGGCTGAACTACGCCAGCTTCCTTAACTCTTTCGGGGCCAACTTTTTTCCAGTAGGTAATAATTCAAAACAAGTTTGGACTAATTTTAAAGTTTTTACGCCAATCGGTTAGGGAGCTAACAAATGTTGGTTTTGTTATTTTTATATTTTGAAATATTTATTTTTATTCATATTTTATTTTTATGATTCACTTTAATCATTGTAAATCAATTAAAAATTGTTTAAAAATTATTTAAAAACCTTTTCCGAGCTTAGCAACACAATTTTCCCCGAAGCAAGTGCAGTGTCTTCCGAATAACCTATCCAAATGATCTTTAAATGAACTTTTATAAGCTCATATGTTCCGTAGACATATACAGACTGTTAGCAGAAAAAAAAAACAAAAGAAAAGCCCACCGTTAGTCTTTAAGCAGATGAAGTTGCCGCAGGCACCGTTGGTCCCAAAAGGGTTAACTTAAGTCCTAAATAATAAATTCGTAATCTGGTTTTTAAGCGCCCCTCAACTTTTTTAATGCCCTCTGTTCAAAAAATAAAATATTTAAATTTTAATATTAAACAATATTTAATAAATAAAATTATTTTTGGCTATTGTTAAACAGAAACTAAATATCTATTGATTTCATTCTTATGCTAAAGAAAAAAGTCTAATTATAATATTTTTGAAGAGGTATTTCTCTTTGTCTAAGATGGTAGAGTATTTCAAGTTTAGCTTTCTCCCCATTTATTTCTGCTGCTGACCTCCGGGCAGCCAGGCCAAAGTAATTGCAATTAGTGCTGTGGAACAAAGGAAAGTAAAAAGACAGCAACTGCGGAGTTACTGCAAAGCTTACAGCTTCTAGATCGCAGGTCCCAGCGAAACAAAACAAGACATTTCGAGTCGAAGTTGAAGACGGAGTCAGAAGGCAGGTCCCAGTTCCAAATGAAGAAAAGTAGCCGAGTAAAACTTTTTAATTGAGCTAAAATCCAACAAATGCGGCTAATAAATATGTATTGAAGTGCGATGGGTGGAATGGGTTGCTCAAAGGCGGGCACTGCTGCAATGCAAAAGTGGCGAGAGTGCAAGAAAATGCAGCGGCTAATTGCCAAATGTAACCCCGGCAGCAACAACTTTTTACAGCAGTTGCAGTAGCAGCAGCAGCAGCAACAATGACGCACAAAATAAACGCGACGTTCAACTTCAGCGAGGCGTTAACGAAACAGCAACAAAATTAGCCAAAAAGTAAAGTTCCTCGACCAGCGACGAAAGTGGCAAGGGTCGCGAAAAGTCGGGCCAGTAGTTTCTGCTGGAAAGTGCGGCAAGTTATTGCCGGCTAATGAAATTTACTCTAATTGACGTGGTAGCCATTCGACTCCATTTTTGAAGACGTGTTGAGGAACACCACACACAATTGCAACGGATTCAAGGTACTAATTGATTTAATGATGAATTTATAAAATACATTATTTAATTTTAATTGGTCAAGTCCAAAAATAAATCGTTCGAAATATATTGTAAATGTTTGTTATGGTCAAAAAACACTTTGACCACTTCGTTTTATTAGTTTGTTTCAGAATTCAACATATTAAAATGTAATGACGTTTTTATAAAATAATTAAAAGTCAATCGATCATCAATCGATCATAAATAATTTTTAATACGAAAGGAAGGTATTCAAATGATGAATTCCTCCAAATTTTATAAACAACTACTTTATCTCAAAGTATTTTAAAGTAAGTTCTTTTTTGACAGTAGTTATAATACCCTCTAAAAGGGTATAAAAACGGAAAAGTTTATCTTTGGACTTATCCTCATTTTGGTTTTTAGCATTCAAATCTGATAGTCATTACATTTTGCTTTTACAGTGTGGTCAATTTTATCAACTCAATTCGCTGCTGGCCACTTTATTAGCATTTATATGGCACGTACCTACGCCCAAGTAAACCACAAAGCGTCGGAAACAACTAAAAATCAAATACAATTCGTGGAAATCAACGCTTGTCTGCTATTGGACATCTACGTATGTACTATACAAGTACGTAAATAGTAAATGGCGCCTGCAGCGGGATAAATGAGCATAAATTCATAATTGCACTGCCCACATAAACCGCTTCGTTAGGAATTTTGCTCATCTGACCACTGGCCACCACAGGCCACCACAGGCAATGGGTCCTAGCCGGCAGAGCAGAGCTCAAATCCAGCAGCCCACTTCGCAGGCCAATGACGAAAGCCACAAAACGCAATGAACATGGCTCCGGTCAGATAGCTGACCGCGAATCTGCTGATGAGACTCCCGCCAGTGTCCACGCAATTGCCCTGTGCCCTTTGCCCTCTTGCTCTTTCACCTTGCCATTGGCCCTCAACCCCTGCCACTAATTACCTCTACAACAGATTAAGAAATTGGGAGCGATTGTTTTTCAAACGCGTGCTATCAAATCTGTGGTATTATTTAAATTACCAAACGGAATCGCTTAATTTTACAGGATGTTTAATATATGTTCACATGTATGTTTAATTAATTATTTTGATTTTCACCCTGGTAAGTTCTAACATTTTTCGCATTGATTTTCACCCATTGCGGTTTTTAGTTATAAATAAAGAATACAATTTTAAAATTTTTTAAATTTAAATAATGTTTAACAAACAAACAAGCATTTAAATTTTAAATCCAATAGGAACTTTATTAAACCTAATATATTCCATATGTATTAAAAGATTTTATTATTCCATCATATAAATTAATATACATAGCATTTAATATAAATTAATAAAATATATAATTTAAATACTAAATATAAAATTTGGAATTCAATTATTTTGTACTGTTCTATTTCTTTATCAGTGAACTTTCTTTCTACTGATAACAAATATAATATTCTGATTTGTATACAAAGAAAATACAATAATAGGTTTTCCTAGTAATCCGAAATGTTTTGAAAATGTAATTTATGTAAGCTTTTTAAGTTTGTTCCCGAGAACTCCATTAGCATTCTCTTCTATATACATATATGAAATTCAAAGCTCTATGATTTTAAGCATTAGCGGTAGTTAAGTAAATTATTGGTCTTACCTAAGATTGTCTGGCAAACAAAATCAACTTAGTACTGTTAACTTTTGGAATGTGAAATTAATCACCTGGATCATCCTTGCATTCCCTTCCTTGAACTAAAAATCCAATTGACCATGACGAATTATGTGTGTATTTCTCAGTAACCACTTTATGCAGTAAGATGGCAAAAGCAAAATATCGAAAGCGATTAAATCAGCGCCCGGCTGGCTTTGTATCCACTCATCTCCTCCGAAATTCTAACTGGAAAAGGGCCACGAAATGACTTTATAATTTCGAAAATGACTCTGCACTTTCGAGCAGGTAACCAAGCAATAGGGGTTAAGAAAGAGAGCACGGCGACAAAGATAAACATTAAAAATTAATCAGCACTTTTGGCTCAAACTTTGATAATTGCCGGATGGCCAAAATGAAGCCAAAAGCGTAAACAGCTACAAAAACGCTCGGCAGCATTTAATGGTCAGAAAAGTGAGGGTGCCAGAAGGAGCACTTTTGAAAAATGACAGGCAGCGGCCATCATTTAGCGCGGGAAAAGCAAAGTTTTAACCCTTTTTCGGGAATCCTTTGGTCGAAGTTATGTGTCTGGGGAGGAGCAATTTTTGTTTGGGAAATTGATGTGCATCATAAAAATTTGCGACTCAGGTGGCAAGCTGTTATTTTTGATGTGCAATGGTGACTTTGGAGCGACTTTCTTGATTATTTTAATAGACAAATGACAAAGTTATGCGGGGGAAAAGGCACTTTACCTCCAAAATTTTGTAGATGCGAAAGAGTTAAAATTCAATGCGGACCACCGAGCGTATGAGTGATATTTCATGTTCGCCGTTTAATGGACACCACCTCATTTTTGCGCACCCCTGCTCGTAAAGTGAAGCTGTTTGGTATATCTTTTATGATTACCATAAACTATTTACACAGAACTTTAATAATCTGGTGCGTGCAGCAGCAAAATGTTGGCAAGTATTTTATAAGCTCACACACAGAGAGACGACAAAGGATTTATGTCGAGTCACAACATCCTGCAGGATCGTCTGGTGTTTTGTGAGTAGTATACGATGTGTATATGTGGGTTGTTTACTTTGCTTGCCAGCTTTCCAGTGTCTGGTGATGTTGTCGCTTTTTACTCACCACCACCCAAAATTTGGCTCCGCCCGCCGGCAAAAGTTTGCCAACACAAACAGCTACTCAGGCGTATAATTGCCATTAAAGTGCGCTTAAAATGAGCTGAGAGACCCTCAAAACGAGCTGGTTTTATCGAGCTCAATACGTGGTGATGGTCGGGATGGCCCGGCCTTTAAGCATAAGTACGAGTATCAATATTTCACAACTTGGCCCTTCGGGGGGTCTGCCAATTAAGTGCTGCAAGTTTCGGTCTTTTGGAATTTTTCATGCCACAGTATTTTTCTGGAGAGTAGGAGCTCATCTGGCTCGCAAATTAACAAAACGGACGAAGGGGTTCGAGGAGCTTGTGCCCGAGCCTCAATCTGAGTTTCCCTAATTGAAGCTCACTGACGTGTTCTCGAATATCAGATTGCAATCTATTTTGCCTCAGCTGAATGGATTCTTAGTTACCTCTTTCGAGGAGCAGGGGAGTGCGGGGAAACGAATCGCTTTGATTGACAGCTTATGCTGGAAAATGCAAAGATATGATTACTTTTAGGTAGCCTAGGGAATTGCCATCTCGGTGTCAGCAGAGACAATGCAGCAAAAGCACAAGCGAAGGCAGCTGCAAAATCTACAATTCTACCAGCAGCAGTTGACAGCAGTCCGTTGAGAAATGAAACTAAATGGCTGAAAGGCAAACATCTCTCTACACCGGATCATATTTCAAATTCCAACTGTAAGCAGTCAGACAACCGGTGTTCCGAGCACATAATGAGCAAAAATGTTTAAAATCCACAGCAAAAAACTTCACACACAATAAACAAAAATGGGGAGGTGGCTGGTTGAATGCATAAACCCGTTGACATGCTGACAGCACATTATTTACCGCCCAGCCAGGCCAGAAACTATGAACTCCGGCAATATTGAGCTGAAACCCGGCGCAGTATATAGAAATTCTGCTCCTATATCCGTTTTTAATAAATTAGTTTGCAATTTGCCACGGCTGACTGGGTCGAAAGCTGCCAGCCAGGTGCAGCAAAAGTTGCAACTACTATACAACGGCTAAAACAGCTGAAGTGGCAACAACGATGAGCAAACGGCAGCCAAGAAGCTTGGCAGCTTGGAAACAACACTCACCTTTGAGCCGCACGCAGACACCCATTTGGAGTGCCATAAAAGCCAACTGCTCGGCGGAAAGTACATAATGTCGGTATGTTTCATATGGCTGCGATGCACTTCCGTTGCGAAACGCCCTCAAGTCGTCCTGGCGAAACGAATCTCTGTCTGAACATTTGGGTTTGGTAGGAATCTCCTTTCGTATCTCAGTTATGCAACCGCAAAACAAAATTCATGTTAATCGGCTTTGTAGAATTTATAGTTGGAGGCATTACGCCCAAAGGGTAGTTGTTTTAAATTAGTTTTAGCTGGCAACTTAAGATCTTCATTTTACAATCATTTATTTTATTTAAATTACCTTAAGGTAGGTTATTAAATACCTCTAATAAACACTTGCTCAAAACGTTGCTGGATTTGAATTATTTCAAGATGCGATATTTAATACCTTTAATAACGATTTGTTGAAATATTTGTTTTTGTTTATTTAAATTTGATTTACATTATTTCAAGTTGCCATATTTAAATTTAAATTGCAATTTAAGAAACCAAACTTTTTATGGTTTCTACCAATGTATTTAAAACTTTTCCTTAATTTCCTCAACATTATTTGTTTTGCCAATGCTATCCTTATGTGACCGTATTCAACGTAAATCATTTGCTTTGCCAATAATATTTAAATCAGCATTTGCCGGCTTTAAGAGCGATTGCCATAAGCCAGTGGCAAGCAAATGCCTTCATTCAATGTCAGGCAATTTCCGGTGCGCAGAACCAAGCTCCCGACCTGTTCGACCGCCATCGCAAATTCGAAAATTCCGCGAAAGGCAATGGCAAATTGGTAATTGGTATACCGTTAGCGCGCTGTCAACAGGATGGGACAATCCCAGCCAAGCTCATCCGAAAAGATGGCCAAAACAAAAGGTAGTAAGAGGGCGGGCCCAGACGATGTGTAAATCATTTGAGCAAAACGTAGACATAATCTCGGCGCACGGGTATTGCGACTGTGCACGTGCCAGAGGCTTTTATTATTGCCTGCCCGTCTGCTGCCGCCGCTTGCCGCTTGCCGTTTGCCGCTTGGCATGTCCATAAGCAAGGACCCTAAAAAATTCATAACATGTAGCGCCGCATATCCCGAAAATCCACACCCGAAGACGGCGACAATGGGCGCGCCCATCAGCAGCCATCAGCGGCCGAGAGGATGCTGAAAATACTGAGCTACCCGGCCATCTCGCTGAGTGGCGGACTTACGTGGAAATGACATGGGGGATAAAAGTATCATGGCTTTTAGAGAGAGTCCTCATCGCGGGCCTCCTTAGTGCTTCTAATATTACCAGACGTCCCAGCCCTGCCCAGCTCTGCCCAATGCCAGCCAGCCATTGTGGCCACAATAAAAATTCGCATTCCCATTATATAGCCATCATTGTTGTTACTGGCACTCGCACACCCCGGCAAACGCACAAATTCCTATCTAAATGGCAAAAGTATGAGAGCGATGGGTGTGGGCGTGCACAGAGAAAAATCATACTATTTTATTACGATTTGTTATTATTATTATTCTTAGTGTTAAACGAAATAACGTTTTATGTTTGAAAAACATGTAAAATTTGATTATGATCTGGTTCAAAAGCATTCGAATTAAACTTAATCGAAATTGTATTCTTTTCATGTTCTATAAAGATCTGAATATAAACTATTATATCCACTAAAACTATACAAACGTCTTGAAGTTTTTGTATGATTATGGGTCTAAAATATGCCTTTTAAAGTAAAGCATTCAAAAAGTTAATGATAAAATGAAATATGGTCACAAAAGCTTTAATATTCTTTTTTATGTGTCAAAAACCAAGCAGCAATCAATATAAACTTCCGTAAATGAAATGAATGCCATTTAATGGGCAGTGGGCAGGTACATAGGTACAAAAAGACTGGGAGTCACTTCAAAGAATCATTTTTGGCCAAAACTTGTTCCAAATATTTATATAAATAGCTAAACCGAACCGAACTCAACTTTTTTGGGAGTTATATATTGCGTCTACAATTTGGAGAGCAAGCTTAAAACTTTCATTATGCAAAAGTTTTTTAATAAAAGTGCAAACATAGTGGCAGCTGGCTCCCGAAATTCCCGCTCTCTCTTTTTCCGTTGGCCACATGCACACATGCAGTTGGCCGTTATTAAAACCAACAGTTTTGTTTACTGCCACGCGGAAATGAGAGTGTGGATGTTGGCCCACCTATTCGCAATTGCGTATAATAAAGTTATATTCGTTTTTCGATCAATTCAATACTGGCAGGTGAAAATAGTATTTAATTAAACATTTGAATGCATAAAATTGCATAAACCTGGTATTGTTCTTGGCCAAATTAATTTGTGGAGCTAGCTCGTTATTTTTCGACCAGTGAATTTCTATCAGCTACAGAAACGCAGTCGCATGGCAAATTTCATTCTCTTCCTAGTTCTAATTTAAATTAATTAATTTAATGTCCACCGCAAAGCAAACATTGCAGAAACTAATAATACAATCCCATATTTACTCAAGAGAAGAGAAAACTAAATAGGTAATTAAACATCATATACTTTTATGCCGGAATAAACACAATATTGGGGTATCGTCGAAATAGTACTATTAAAGCGGCGAAAAAAAAATCATAATAACATTTTAAATGTTTAATTCAACATAAAAAGTGTGTAAAATAAAGAAGGGAGTTGAAGAACGAAACAGAGAAGGCGAGTCCTACTTGGCAGCGATATTACGTATACGCACGCATGCACATGGCGACAAGGCAAATATTTTGTATGCAAAATAAAGTACTCGAAAAGTCACTTTAAGTGTGTCGCTGGGTGGGGCTGCTTCCTGTCTAACCGCCTGGCTGACTGGAGGGGCATAAAGAGCGTAAAAAATGCTAAATGATAAATAAAATTTACAACCGCAACAACAAAGCCCAGCAGCAACGCCACCGACAACGCCAAACGAGCACATATGTGGCAAGCGAAGAAGTTCTGCCCCTTATCCCGCCTTTCCGCGAGCGAGCGACATAATAAAATGCAATTTAGACATCAAAAATACACAGTAAATGGAGCAAGAGTAGCAAGTCGCAAGTGGCAGGACGACATAGGGCGAAAACGAGGAGGAGCAGGAGGAGGTTCGCGCAAGGAGTCAAAGACAGCCGCGTGACTGACATGTGAGGGCCGAGGAACCACATCCGCATTCGCGTCAAACGGCAAACGACAAACAGTCGACAGCGACACAGGACAGAGGACGAACTGCCAAGCACACACTTGGAACAATTTTAAATATAATAAAAATCTATTTAACATTAAAGACAAATTTTATTTAATATTTACAAACTGTAAGCTTAAAGTTACAAACTAAAGTTAGAGCAAGGGTTAGCAGCCATAGCTTATTGATCTTTCTTTTTATAAATTAATTTTCCCGTTTTATAAAACCTCTTTTATTTGATAAAAACTTTTTTGTTGAAAAAATTTCTCATATCTATTTATTATTATTAGAAAAACAGTTATAAATTTTTTTTTTTTTTGTGTTTCTCATTTAATTTAAGTTTTTATTTAAAAATTTTAAGCGATGCACAAAAGCTAGCAAAAATTATACATGTACTTATTTATGTGAAGAGATAGCATTCATAAAGTCCATAATAAAGTGGAACTGAAATGCCTGAAGCATAATTTTTCGATTTGTTTGTTTTTTGCCAATTTAATTTAATTCAATTAATAGCAAAACGAAATGCGGTGTGCAATAACCAAAAAAAAAGCATACAAATAAAATCTGTGTTTTATTTAATTTGACCTTGAGTCAGATATAATAAATAAAATTAAACATTTTTATAATTTCGCATAAGCTGACTTTATTTTAACACAAAAAGATATACGAAAATAGCTGTAACTTTCTTTTTTTCCTGCAGTGAGAGTTGCCTTTCTGAGGAAGAGGCTGTGCGTGCTGGCAAGAAAATTTACTGAAAGCGATATGTTACTCTTTCTTTCCGCACGTAAGCGTTGCCCGCCGGCCACTCCGCTGTCCATGTCCAGTGCATATTTAAAAGCTTTGTGGCATATTTTTCAAACCACTGGCGAAAGCAAGGCATGAAAAAATCGGGATGGGAGAGTCCAGAGTCCGGAGTCCCTTGGCCAATTCAATCGGGCTGCAAATCAAAGTAGAGAGCTGCACAAGTGACACGGGACACAGAACGTGGGACACGGGCCAATGGCAATGCCAAAGCCAACACGAGCGGCATGCCAACGCGTAGTGGGACAACAAAGGTGTGCACTTAATTTAATTAGAGCCGGAAACTCTGAAAACCCCGCAACTGCAAAGGTATAGTATATAGTACCTATAGGGATGCTGTGCTTGCCCATCCCAACAAAAAACCAAACTGGCAATGTAATGGTCTGGAAATGGCATTTGGCAGCCTGAGAACAACGGTGGAGGAGCAAAATGCTCGCGAGAACCTTTTGTGAAGATGAATTTCATTTCATTAAACACAAATTTCATTGTGTGCGCTTAAAGTGAAATTAAATAAATGAGGACGCCCATAAAGGAAGAGTTGGAGATGAGGTGCCAAGTGGGCAAATGGTAAAGGGTTATGTCCATGACAAATGCACCGTAAAATCGCTGCTGCTAAAAACCTCGGTCTTTTGCAATGCGTGTGTAAACACACACACACACACACTGCGCCTTGCCATTTCCCGATTTTGATTCTGTTTCAGTTTCTGGTTGGGTTTCTGTTTCTGTTTCCGTTCGTATTTGTATTTTAATGCAAATTGTTGTAATGTTAAATGAGTCACAAAATTGTTGTACATCACGAGGATTAAATGAATTTTAAAACTCGACATTAAAAATGGAATACGAAATGTGCAAAACTGCATAATGAATTTCACTTTGGTTTGCAGGGGGGAAGCGGTGGCGTATGCGTAATGTGCTTATAACTATAACGAAATTCGCGTGCTCTGAATGCAAATGTGCTGAATGAATCTACCACCAGCTCTTGACCTTGTGCAGCACCGTCTTGAAAACGGGCACCTTGACGGGAAAGGGCTTGGGCACCTTGATGGGCACATATTTGACCACATGATAGGGCACATGTTTCTCCACCGGAACCGGGATGTGTTTCTCAACGGGCACCGGTATCAATCGCTCCACGGGCACTTTCAGTTCCTTTTCTACGGCCACCTGCACGTTCTTGGTGATCGGTATGTGGATGGGCACTGGCTTGCGAACCGGTATGATGACCGCATGCGAAATGGGTATCTTCACCTCCTTCTCCACCGGCACATGCTGTTTCTTCACATGCTTCACCGGCACATAGTTGATGATGTCCACATGATGCGAGTGGTGGCTGTGACCCTGGCCTTGACCACTTGCCTCCGACAAGTAGTTGGAACTCTGCTCCTGGCCCGCATCGGGATGCTCTTCGTAGTTATCGGCAGTAGATCCGCCCGAGGCAGATGATGCCGACGTTGAACCGGATCCAGAGGCGGATGGGTCATGTTGGCTAAAGTACGTGGAGTGCTGCTCCTGTTCCTGTTGCTGCTGCTGCTGATGTTGCTGCTGTTTCTGAAGTTGCTGCTGCTGGTGGTAAAGTTGCTGTTGCTGCTGCTGCTGTTGCTGTTGCTGGTCGAAGTGCTCCTGCTGGTCATCATATCCAATTCCCTGCTCGTAGTGCGGCAGGAAATTGCCCATTGAAATTTTATCGTACGCATACGGATGAGCCGCCTGTTGTTCCGGCTGCTCCTCGGGCCAGGATTCGTAGCTCTGCTCGACACCAGATCCCGCCTGTCCATAGGCAGGCAAAAATCCGCCATTGTGCCCTCCACCGGGATAATTGTATATCGGCGAATGATGCTGATTGTTCTCCAGGCCGCCGCCGCCAGATTGTCCATTTCCCGACCCAAATGCATGGGCTCCAGCTGCTGCCACTGCGGCCACGGCGGCATCCTCATTGTGGTCCTCGTAAATGGGTATCTCCTGTTTGGTGGAGCCCAGGGCCAAGGCCTCCGTGTGGCTGGGGGTCATCGCAGAGGCATAGCCATTGCTGATGTGACCCAGACCCGAGAGATTTGTGAGCCCATTGAGCACCGTGGCCAGTCCTTGCGGGGAGCCCGCGGAATGACTGATGCTCCTGCTAAAGGCACGCCTTTCGCCCCCATCGCCGCGTGGCATTTTAGACGAACCATAACGATGATTGGGATGAGGAGGCGGCAGCGATTGATCCATTGGTAGCCATCGATTGTCGAACAAAGACCCCGTGGTCTGATACAATGGGTGGTTCCGGGCCGTCTCCGCACCGCTGGTGGCCCCACCCACAATTGTCAGAATGGTGGTCGCGGCTGCAATGAGCGGCATCTGCTGCGGAGGATAACACAAAACGATTTAATATGCAAAACACTAGGTGAGGGGAATAAAATTCAGAATTGAATGACGATAAGATACCCAGCTTTAACTTTTTAGAAAAAAAATTATAATTGATTTAAGTATTGTAATTTAATTTAATTTTTTGAACAATAATCCAAGAAGTTTCCGAATAAGTTTGTCACTTTACAATTTCACAATCACAATATACCCCATATGCCAAGAGCGGCATGGGGTATATCAAAATGTGCTGAATGGCTGGGCTTTGTATTCCAGAATTTTTGCATAATGCATTTTTAATATCCTCGACTCGACTCCACTCCACTCCGTACCAGTGTGCAGTCCATTCCTCCCATTATATTCCTTGCCGCTCCTCACTCACCAAATTAACGTTCGCCATTTGGCCTGGTGGGCTTCGAACTCTGGCTAGGATGGGATTAGACCTTGATTGCTGCTGCCCGACTACTGCGATGGGAATGTGGCCGAAATGTGGCTGAGGTGGCGTTTTTATAGTATATGGCCCGGGACTTGGACAGAAACTCTTACACAATTTGCAGCTTCAGCTGTGTTGATAGAAGGCGGTCGGCCAAAAGTGAGTGCTTTACCATTTGTTGACCTGGCTCTGTTGCCTGTCTCCATTTTTTTTTTTTCCATTTTGCCATTTCCCTAGCGCTTTTCCTATGCATTTATGAATTAAGTTACGCGATCAATTCAAATCGCACAGCAAGCCCCAAAATGGAAAAGAAAATGTAATAAGCAAATCATAACCAAAACCGGCTCGCCAAAACACTTGAAAAAACAATAAAGTTCAAAGTCATTTTCCACTGACAACGACAAGGAATTAGTTGAGTTGAGTTGAGTTGAGGCACGCGCCTCCATCCCAGTGCAGCATCATTATGATCTTGCCACGATCACGATCATCGGTGGCCTTCACGAGTGGCAGTCCCAGAAGCACAAGAAACAAAATAAAACAGCACTCCTTCAGTCGAGTGCAGTGGATTGGAGTGCCTTGTCAAAAGTGGTTAAACCACTTCGGGAAAAAGCTGGACAAAAGCTGAAGGCTGTGATTCCATTTCTTTGGGCCTGCTTAAGGCCTTAAGCATTTTCATTTGCCATTGTGTTTTCGGACTTGCCTTCACCTTTCCTGCAAAAAAGGTTAGTTTTAATTGTTTTACCAACTTGATTTTTTTTTTTTGTTGACCATTGTTCGGTTTTCAGTTCAGTTTTTCTTGACTCAGCAATGGGGCGTGGCGGGGTAAAAGTGAACGCCTTTTAAGTGCACCTGCAGACATGATGCTGCTGATTATATTTTTCTTGCCAAGCGTAACAGCTCGTTAGTATTTTCAAGTGATTTTCATTTATTTTCTTGGCTGCCTCTGCCGCCTTTAATGCCTATAATGCCTTTACTGCCTCTACTGCCTTTTGCTGCAGATGCAGACCGATGGAAAGGCGAGGCCAAAAAGGAAGTGTACTGATTTGAAAGGAAACAAACATTTCTCAGCTGCCCAGAGCGCTGGGGCTCCTATCGTTGCTCCCGCTGCCCTGGCAGTCACTTTTCTAAGTACTTTTTTTTAAGCGCAATTCACGCTTACTTCATTTCAATTACAATTACATGATTTCATTTCTCTCGCTCGCTGCTCGCAAATGCAAAAATGATGTAACTTAGTGGAGGCCAATGCGATTACCTGCTACCATGCTCAAAATATAAATCCGCTCTCTATGGCATGAGGGCCCCAGACCAATCAATAGCTTTGAGCACACACACACACAAATATAAACAACACGGAATCGCTTTTTAAATACTATATTTTCGCTTTCCATTTAGGTTTTTTTCGGACCAGAGCTCAAACAAATGACACAGACGGGCACAGATGCAGCAGATCCATATTCAGATCCAGCTACAGATACAGATACAGATGCAGATACATATGCAGCATGGGATGCAAATGCAAACGCTGAGCGGGTTATAAAATAAATAAAACTGTTTCACATTTTTGTGCTGTGCTTTTGAGTCGTTTTAAAACTCTATCAAATATTGTGTAACATTTTGCGAGCCCGTATATTTTTTTTGGGAAAACAAAAAAACTTCCAAAATATGCATTTGAAATGCCAGTTTTTGGGGGAGCAAAAGCGGATACGCCTGTCGGTCGACCATCCATGTGCAACGTGCTCATATTTGCATTGTATTTATGCACAGTTTTATTGTTGTTTATTGAAACAGTGGGCGGTAAAACAAAGGCAATAGGAGCTATAGGAATTTCGGAGCCTAAATACAAGTGCCAACAAAACTAAGCACACTTATATTGTGTCAACTGGTCCACTTTCAACACCACAAACCTGGTTATGTCAACTGGAAAATAATAGCTGGAGTTTTAGTCTATCGAAAATGGTTGTCTTCGATAAAAACGTAAGAATTTGACACTCTCGACACAATTTGTGGTATAGGAGAAATTATCCCTCTGTACTTTCTGGCATAAGTCTATAAATTAAATTCCGCATTGAGTTTGGCATTTAATTTGCAGTTATGTTATTATACATTTGGGCCATGCTGCTCTTGTTTTCGCACAACGGAAGTAGAGAATCAAATTGTTTCTATTGTAATTTAGTTTTCAGCTGCTTTGATTTATTAACATTTTCAGCATTTTTCTTTTGTGACTGTCCTATATTTATAAAGAACAATAATGATTTTTCTAAAAAATATTGTATAAATTATTTGAAAAAATATTTTAAATTAAATATTTAAATAAGTCACGAATTTTAAGTTATTTTGTGAAAGTGGAAAAAATCTTTTTTTCTACTTTCAATATTTAAAGATTCAAATAATGCTCATTTATAATGTCTTGTTTAAATCATTAACATCATTACTTTCTGTCCGTAATTGTATCTAGAGCTTTCACTGAATAAATAAGAGTCTAAAAAATGGACATGACTTTTTCCTAAAGACAGTTTTTAGCCCCTTAAAAATTGACGTTTGCTTGCGTGAGATGCTTGGCAATGGATGTGCAGGAGTACGCCCCGGCGTATACTTAATTGCGAGCGTGTTTATTATCTGGCAGTGCTGAACGTCATGGTCGTAAATTAAAATGACACGCTTTGCATATCCGCCACCCCTCTGACCAACACATGCAAAGCAGCACATCCAAACACACACACACACACTGCAGCAATAAAAATTTTAATTATTCAATTAAATTACACTCGAAGGCGTTGCTCAGCTCAGCCCAGTCCAGAGTTTGGCGAAATGCGAAATGACTGACGGCTCATAAAATTGACACCGCCACACTTGCACGATTACAGGAGGAGGCTCAAGGACAATGCATTCGCACCACACGACATGGCGCACGGCGAAATCATATAAAAATCATGTTTATTTAATTTGCATTACAAAGGACCATTGTCCCAACCACCGCTCGTTAAATTCACTCCGTCGACCGACCACGCCCACGTTTTAAAAAACAATAAACCGTATATACGGATGTTTTTGGGGAGGCGAGTCGCACGTAAAATGATTAGCAAATATGCCCCCGAAATGGGCGCACACAGAATACGCCTGAGGGGGCGTAAATCCGCCATAAACTTGCGGAGGGCTGGGGGGATTAGGTCGACATTAAAGCCCGCCAAGGTGGGGCAGAGCCGTAGGGGAGCTGGGGGTCAGAGGTCAGCGGATAGCGGGCAGTGGGCAGTGGGCAGCGGTTGGAGCCATTGGGCACGCAATCCCCTCAGCGGACGGAGCATTGAGGCAAGACACGCATATTTAATTAGCTCCCTGCACTGTCGTTTGTGCAGGAGTGCAGAAGGTCCTGAAACGGTGGCCATGGGGTGGGTGGCCAAGTTGGTGACCGCACTCCAGCAGGGCTACAGTGAAGATCTCCTCGGGGGAATTCGCTGCGCCAGATTTGATTAGCTATTGAAATGATAATGGATTGAAGACGGCACGGTTGCGTGGGTCAGGAAAGTATGTAGTGGCTTACGAAAGCGGTTTACATCTCAATTACACCTTTTTTAATATAATAAATTTCAATCTTTGGCTTCTTCAATAAATTACAATAAATTCGCTGTCAAATCCAATTACTCAACTCAAATTCTTCGACAAAAACATCCGAAATTATAAAGAAAACTTTTACCTTAACTTGACTTTGCTGTCAAGTACGAACTGTTTTTGTCGACGAAAACAAAAACTTAAAACAAAAATCGTAAAAAATACTTCTAGCTGAACATACATTCAATTCATTTCATTTATAAACTAATCAAACAGTCAGAGCATTGATTATACATATTTGAAAAATAATGCTCAATTCAATTTATTACCTTGAGAAATGAATGTCATCATTTCAGATGAATAATGAATATAGATTTATTATAAATTTGTTTATATTTGCCAAATCTTCTTTGCCATTAAATAACATATTTTTTAATCAGTTTTATAAATAGAATGTAAAAAAATGTATTTTTTTCAGTTTTTATTTGTGTTATTTTAATAACAAAACTAATTTGGTTTTAAATTATAGATTGCACATGGTTGCTGGTTAACCAAATTATTCTCAACTCTATTATTTACATTGACAATTAAAATGCATAAATAAAAATATGAATGTAGTATGGTCTTGTCTTGCAATTTGTATTACTTATTTGGCTTAGTCAATTTTCCAGATTACAATGAAATTGGTATATTGGTTTACAATTTTACTTCTTTCCTTAGTTAGTACCACATTATTTGTAAGGGAATATGAGCTGCAGAGCGGACGGGGCACATTTTATATGCGTGTCCATGTCGTTCCTTTGCTCATTTTTGCCGCTGCTCACTGCGTTGCTGGCTGTTGGTGCCCTTGTTCTCGCATGTATTTGCAGTCGTAGTTGGAGCTGTAGTTGCCATGTGATTAATTCGCGCAAAGAGTTGTGCGCTTCCGTTTCCGGTCGCTGTTGTTCTTGCTGTTGGCTGCCACCGCCCGAGCTTTTGTGTTTCACATTTCACAGGAGGCTGATTTGCGCTTAGCTGTGGGTGCGCTTGTGGGCGGGCCACAATATTAATTGTTTTGTGCCCAACGAGGCTTAAAAACACATGCTCATGTAAGCCACTTCCGCTGCAGTAGCCTCCTCGGTTTCCCCCATCTTTTTTTCTGTTAAGTGCCGCCCCCCGCTGGCTTTTTCATGTTCTTGTTTGAAAAATCAGAAAACGCACAAGGATCCAGGAAGGGATTTGGTGCGCTGGGGAGAGCGAGTGGAGCGATGCGAGGTGGGCAACATTTGACGCTTTAGTTTGGCCCCAAACATTTAAGATAAGAGCGCCACAATGGGTTCGTTTGTATGCCATTAATATGAAAATCAGACACACTTATCGTAATTAGTTACTCGCTCATAAGAGGGCCAACTGAAAAGTCAACCAAGTAGCTTCTGGGAGTTAAAAAAGTTACCGGGTTTCGACTAGCCAAGTGTACAACTGAAAACAAACGCACGCAATGGTGTTCGTTTG